AGCGGAGTTCGCCGAAGGGGCGGACGACAGCTGCCGACTGCCGAGTGCCTCCTGCTGCCTCCTGCTGCTGTCCCTCCAGCACTCATTTTGGCATGCTCTGGGCCACTCGCAATATTGAAATTTCAATTTAATTACATAGAGCGAGCCATACTCGAAAAGCACGACCCGACCTCAGGCCCATGTGCTCGAGAGCTGCCCGCAAAATGAGCTGTCGTTTTGGGTCAAAGAGCCTACAACAGCAGGCGCTGGAAGCTGAAGCTGGTGCAGGGGGTGGAGCAGGGGGAGGGGAGAAAGAGAACCAACAACAACAAGGTTAGATCTGCTCACTTGAACTAAACTGCTCGGCGGTTTGGCTTAATTTGTTGAGATAATTGTGCCGAAATTATATTATTATTAAATTCGCATCCGTTATCCTCTTTTTTTTTCGGCTCTCGCCTTTCATGCTTATTATGAAAATTGGATTTCAAGTGCTCTCTGTGGGTGGGAGTGGAAGTGTGGGAGTGTCGGTGCGTTTGTTTATGTGGGAGAGTGAGAGGGCCGGTGGGTAGAGGTCGAGCTTTGACCTTAGCTGTGGTTCTTCCTCTTTGCGTAATTGGATTTTGTGTGAGATTTGGGCAGGGCAAAGAAGCAAAGGAAAATGCCAAATGTTATTAGCTGTGGGTCAGCGATTGCTTGGTCTGAATTCCGAAGAAGGAAAAGCAAGCTGTAACCTCTTAGGATCTCCATCAGAGATACAATCCTTTTTTTTCGGAACCCAATACCGATACAACAAACAGTTTCTGTTTCTGTTTTCTGTTGTGACCCTTAATCTTCGTCTTGGTCTTATTTCTCTTGGCTCATTTATAAATTTCGCACGCTCAGCGAATCGCAGCTCGCATTAATTTGTCCCAAGATTAAATGCAAATGGGCGTGGCAGCACAAAAACCAGCATGAAAAACGGAGCGCAGCTCCAGCAACAATGCACATTCATTCTCTAAGCTTCTGCGAAAGGCTTTTAATTAATTCGCGGCATTAAAAGTGGAAACAGAAGCCAGAAGCCGCGCCACAGATTCAAAGTCAAGTTGCCCCGCGGCAAGCAATAAACGAAATCAGCAAAACGCTGAAAATACGCGAGAGAGAGAGTAGAGTAAATGTACATGAATTCACAAAATATGATTATGAATAAAAGCCATTCATGCAAGAGGCTCAGTGCCGGCACCCCAACCGCAAATGTGGGGAGGTGCTGGAGTGCTGGAGGGCTGGCCTGCCGGGCTGTGCAACCACATGCCGATCGTGGGGCGTGCAAAATCAATTTTAAAGCGAATTAAATAAAAACGCATTTATGCGCATTTTGTGGCAATTAAGTTCAGCAAATTGGAGCCAACGAGCTGGTGCAGCCACAGCCACTGGCCCCATCTCATGCTTCTGCTGCTGCTGCAACTCCTCTGAGTCTCCCTCTCTCTCTCTCTGTTTGTGTGTCTGTGTCTGAATGGAAATGCTGATGCTGGCCCCCATTTAAACGTGGGCTCCATGCTGCACGGAGCGCACGTGGTTCGTGCGGTAATTAAGCTGATGTGAAAATCTTTGACTTGGTGCGAACATTGCGAGCAGGCAATTAAATTTCAGCCCCAAACACAGGAAGCTTAACCGACTGCACTCCACAGATCAATGCCGAACATGTCATCGACTGCGGCGACAGATTTATGACAATCCGAGGGTCTCACCTGACAGCTGAGGGCCTGTCGATGCAGCGCGAAGATTCGAAACTTTCGAAATCTAAATTTCAATTTGTTGTCGAGGCATCGCGTGGCGCGGCAAGGCTGCAGCTCGGGCAATTTGGTGTGAAAAACTTGTAGCTATTTTTAAGTCATCAACAACGGTGGCAGCATCAGCGATCAGCAGCAGCAGCATCCGCAGCACAGTAGCAACAACAGCAACAACAACTTTTATTGCCCATGTGCTGGGCATGTCTTGGTGCCAATTGCATCATGGCAGGCGAAATGTGTCAAGTGAGCGGTGACTGATGTGGCGAGTAACAAGACGAAGCCCGGCAGGCAGAGACACCCTCCTGCTATCCTTCACAGAAGTGTCTCCTTCCAGGGAGGGAGCAGTGCATCCAAGAAGTATGCATAAAAATATTTCATTCAAGCACTCGAATTAAAAGTAACGACAGAAGTGCAAAGAGCTGGAGTGTGGCACTCCAAATGGCGTTGGCTTTATTCGGGCAGTTGTCTGAGACAGTTAACCCCACACACACACACGCACACAGAGACACTAATACACACAGATACGACACACGACATTCAGTCAGCTACTCTGGAGCTGCTGTCATTGTCAATGTCTCCAGACAAATGCGCCTGAAATGGCATAAGAGAGCGTAGCAAGGGGTTGGGGACAATAATTTTCATGGCGAGTGGGTGAGGCCCTGACCTGGGTTCTGCGTGGGGCCCTACACAAAAATACATTGCACGCGCAATGCTAATCTGCTTTTAATTAAAAGCAACGAGGAATATAGAGAAATACTCTAAGCGGCTTTCTCCCGCTCGCTCCGCCTCCATTTGGCATTTGGCTAATTGTCTTTCGCTGGCGGCTTTTGTCATTTGTCTCCGGCCAAAATATGCCAAAGACAAGCATACAAGATACATATGTGGAAAGAAGAATGGCAGGAATGACAATTACAATACAAATGTTTTGCCACGCTGACAGTGACACATTGGGAATGAATTGTGCTGAGGGGCTGAGGGGCAAAGGTTAAGACCAATAATTATGTCAAGGCAAGCCGCAGTTGGCTAATTAAAATGAATAGAATTTAATACGGTTGAAGAGCAGTTCTAGGAGCATTCAGTGTGGAGTATAGGAGAGCATTTGTTTGCTTGCAATTAATTATTATTTTAAATATTTTGCACCTTTGTGCCATCGCAATCTGCTGCAAACTTCGATGCACAATGATGATAAATGGCAAAATATCATGTAGAATCAATCAAAATATAAAAATGGATGGCCCTAGTAAAAACACGAGGTCCTGTCAAACACAATTAATTATGAAATTCATAAAACAAAGCCACAGGCATACAAAAATACAAAAAACCAACAATGGAGGCCATAAAAGCGTCAAAGAATGGAAAAATGCATGAAAAATGCGACAGACAAAATTATCATTCATAATAATTTGTACAAACAAACAAGAGCAAGGGGCTGAGTGGCGGAGTGGGGTGAATATCTGGGGGCCCAGAGGCTAGGTGAACAAAGGACAGACTAGGCATGGGTCTGGGGCGCACGGGAGTGGGAGTGGGAATGGGAATGGGCCGACAGATGAGTGCTGGCTGGGGCAATAGAATGTTTCACGCAGAGGCAACAATTACAAAAAATGATGTTTTATTTAAAATGCCAGACGGCAGTGGCAGTGTTGGGCGGGTGGCGGGTATAGCGGGTGTAGCCGGGACAGACGGGGAATAAAAATAACAATGCTGCAACAGCAGTGATAATGTTGCTGGCAACACATGTTTTCAGCAGCAGCACAGGCAGCAGCAGCGGCAAAAGAAGCATTGCCACCGCAGAAACAACAAGCAGAGCGCTATGATGGCATTACGACCATAAGATACCCAGTACGCTTCTCGTGTTTTTTTGTTAGTGGAAATTAATTGGAATTAACTGGCAATTCTGATAAATTTTAAATATTTGCGATTGATTTTGATCCGAGCCGGATTTATTCTATAAATTACGTTCCTTTGCTACATCAATTGCAAGGACACCAGTATAACCTTGCGATTTGCAAGTAGAGGGTATTACAAAAGCTGGCAGCAGACCAATACCCACCCTCCCCCCATCTACACAAAGTCCCCCATTTTCGGATGCCTGTGCGCACATTTTAATCAATAAACAAACGTGAAAATATGACAAACAAATTAATAAAATGCAACAGAAGCAACCCACAGCTACACACGACCGACAACGACAATGACAAAATATTATAAATGAATCGGAGAGAGGTTCGACAATGCAACAGCGGCAACTGGGGTGAAAGAGGAATAGTTGATGGGGGGAGCGGGATATGGACTAAATATAGATGCAACGTTGTTGCCCTTCTGCGGCGCCTACGTCGTGCCGCCCTCCTTCCTGCCGACTAATTGTGACAATTTGGTCTCACACAAATGGCATAATAAATGTTGAGCAGAGGAAATGATGTGTGAAGTGCAGCAGATCCCATATATGGGGCTGAGGTGGAGTCACAGTCTCCCCCCACCGCCAATTGATGACCAAGCGGAAGTGATTTTTGGTTTCAGTGCACGACTTTGCGCCAGCAAAAGGGATGAGAGCATGGGTGCCAGGATGGGTGGGATCAGACAATGGCTCCCCTCTCAGCAATTATCCAAAACTTTCTATGGGGCCAGCAGCAATCCCAATCTTTGTTTAGCCAGCGGAGTCTGCAATTGAGGCACAATGGGAGGCAGGAAGCGTGCAACTCTTTTTTTGTCAGTGTGGGGATCGCGCAGAGCGATTGAAGGATTGGAAATTGTGTATTTCCGGCAGGACAGCGCATAATGGAGCAGCACGGGATGCCCATAAATAATGCAAAACAAAACCCATTGATAGCCGCCAGCGCAATATCCAAATCCAAATTGGATGCCATTGTTGCCAGTGGATGACAGTGGCAGACGGGCAGACGGGACGACTGACTGGCTGCTAATTAGCCAGCACTCTCCAGTTTGGGTCGCATTCCTGGCCCCGGGGCACGTTCCGCCACGGCGATTGAGTAAGGTCAATGGGCAGGGCAGGCCTGAGCCTTATCGCAGGCGACACTGCCCCATAAATCAGTGGGGGCAGGCAAGGTCTCGACACGTGACGATCGCTGGAATGTGCTGCCGAGTTCTCTGACTCCCTGGTGCATTTGCCAAGTCGTATATTATTTATCAGGAACTTTGTACACATTTTCCTTAACGACGAGCAATAAAATTAATATTTTTGCCTGCCCCAGCTTTGTCAACAACTAATTGAAACATTTCTCCTCTCTCCCATTGCAGGGCAGGAAGAAGCCAGAGAACTTGTAGGGAGTTGCAGCATTGGCATATGAAGCAATTAGGGGCAACACTAAAAACGCCTATAAATGTCGAGTGACAAACATTTTCGCGGAACAGAGAAGACAGGCACAGGCACAGGCCCAAGTGTCAGACACTTTCCAGGCAACATGTTGCTGAGAGACATCTGCGGCAATTGACAGCAGCAACATTTGCGGCATTGCTTGCCTCGGCGGGAACGGCAACAGCAACAACAACTCTTCGTGTGGCAAGCAAACTTCGTGCGGCATTCGACTCTGACGGTTGTGTGACGCGTTCGCTGGCTGTGCGGCAAAGACAGAGAAAGAATGAAATAATGACGTGAGAGCCGGGAAAAGTTTCGTTTCGAGTGTTCAAGTGTGGATAACAAATGGAAAATACAAACGTAAACAGCAAATCAAATTAGTAAAGAGAGAAATCAAAAGAAATACGTAACCAAGTGCGTGTTAAATAAAGAATAATATATCGTAGAAAAATTCTAGAGAGTTCAGCGCTTAGGCAGAGCCAAGAATCAAAAACCGAAGCGAAAAAGCGAAGCCAAAAAACATTTCACACTTAATTAATGTCTAGTTTGAGGAGCAGTCGTGCAGCAGTCAAGAGGACAACAACAACAAACGATCACAAAGTGGGCAACGTTGCAACGTTGACAATGTGGCAGACGCTATCAACTGTATCCACATCACTCACGGCGGCTATCCTGGGGCCGGGGCCCCCGTCCGGGTGCAGGTGCGGGCAGCGCCTGAAGGGAAAACTGCGAGCATCCAAATCCAGCATTTACCACGCGGAAATGCAGAGTCACAGAGCCAAAGCGAGCAACATGTTGCCATCAGCAGACACCGCGACAGCAGCGTCCGTGCGTAGGTGTCGCTGTGGCAGCCACATCACCATCACCATCAACAACAACAACAAAAACGACACTACCAAAAGGAGCAGCAACATTAGCGGTGGCAGCCTCCGCCTCCTGCACTGGCTGCTGCTGCTCTGCGTCTTCTGTGGTAAGTACGAGCCATGGCCATGCCCATAGCCATGGACCAGAGCAGTAAGTGACTTTTAACAAAATGCGCTTAAATGTCTCTGATTTAGTGCGCCACGCCCCACAAAAAAGGGACAGACAAACCCAGAAACCAACAAACCGCCAAACTGTAGTGATACAGCGACGAGCGGAGGGACAAAAACTGCAGCAGTTTTGGGGCCCTTGAATAAGATACAGATACCCAACCGTTCCACAGACAGAGACACAGCAGTGTGGGGCAGTAGAAAAAATAAAAAAAAAATAAATAAAAACTCTCAACACAAATCAAGATGAATTTCCGTGCATTTTTGTGCAGATTTTTGTAGAGCTTTGCCCAACAAAAAAAAATACACAGACATGGCCAAATGAACGACGTGTGTGTGTGTGTGTGTGTGTGTGTGTATGGTTTGGTTTCGTTTTTGTGCCACGTCTAAAACGATACAACTGCCACAGCAGGAAAAAATGGCTAAACAGCAGAGGAAAAACATTTGAAAATAGCGCCAAGAAGCGGAGGAAGATTAAGCGGCTGGCTGTGGAGTAGGGGACTGAGACTGGCACTGGGACTGGGCAAAAGGGGCACGTCAGCAGCGATGGCAGCGCAATATAAATTGACTCGTGTTTTTCATTTAAACGTTTTGCCCAGTCCCCAGCCACGTCGCCTCCTTTGTTGCCTTCAATAATTTTGCCTGAGTCTGAAGCAGCAACATCAGCATCAGCAGCTGCACTGCCACCGTTGCCGTTGCCTTTGCTGTTGCTGCCACTTAAACCTGAAATTAACTTTGGCCCACGAAAGTATGCAGCGGAAGGATGCAAGAACACGGCAAATCAAGCCACGTGAGCTGCTCTCATGTGTGTGTCTGTATCTCCGGGCAGATTTCTTCTGTGCATCTGTGCATCTGTGTCCGAGTACTTGTATCCGTAGTCGTATTGCTTGATTATTTCGTTTGGAAATTGATGCTGCCATCAATTATAGGAAACCACAAAGAAGAGCAGCAGAACGGGAGAAATGAATGAATTCGGTTAGCAGGCAGCCGGGCACAGATATGGAACCACGGCCAAGAGTAATGGACGGCTGCTGGCCGCTGGCTGATTGGTTAGCTGTTGGGTTTTTGGCCTGGCTTTAAAGCCAGCGCTTTGTAATCGTGGGAGTCGGGAGGCGGTGGGGTGAGGCAGAAGTGCTGTGCAATGCTAAAATAAACTGAAATCAATTTGGTTAAGCCTTCCACCAGAGCAGAGCATAGCAGGCTAGAACAGAACAGAACTGAAGAGAGCATGAAAGGGGGTGGCACTCCAGGAACGGGCCGCCACCCCACCCACTTAACTAATCAGGATAAATAAATATTTATAATTAATTTAAAATATAAACAGCCAACCGAAGCCAGCCGCAATTAATTTTGGCCAGTTGTAGAGATTGGTGGGTGGCTAATGGGGCGCGGGGTGGAGTGAAACTTTCATTTTGATAACAAGGCAAACAAGCAAAGTGCTCATCGCCGAAGACTCGGGCATATGAATAAATGAATGAATGCATGAATAAGCAATCAACAATAATGGCCAAAAGCAACGAAATACGGACCAGATACAGATGCAAAGCGAGAAAGAGAGACAGAGAGAGAGACAGATATCTAAGGAGAAAGAGATAGCTAGCAAACGAGAGAAAGAGAGATGGAGAAAAGGGATGGGAATATTATGAAAATATATGCACAACGAAAAGGTTAAAGCACAAGAGACGTTCAAGGAATGCCAATGGCAATGGCAGTGGCAGCGGTCAGTGGGATTCAGTGCAGGTGTGAAAGAGATGGCCAGCTAATGAGTTGGCCAAGTTATCAGGTGTCGGGATGTTGGGGTGGAATGGGATGGAATGGGTTTGGGTTGGGGTTGGGGCTGGTTTGGGGCCTGGGAAAAGTGCCTTTGGGTCCGCGAGCTACTAAGGGATGCGATGGCAAGTGCGTGAGCCTGCGCGTGCTTAATGAACTGCAATCAATGGCCAGTGCCAGTCGATAAGAGCCGAAAGGCGACTGATTGTGCGTGCAACATGAGGCAGACCACAGCACAGCACACGTACAGATACATGTAACACACACACACACACACACACACACACACACACAGAACGCCGTACTCAGACACTCTAGTGGATCGAACAGACAGACAGACAAATTGATAGCGAACGATTTATAGAGCCCTCATGCTGTCGGGTCCAGTATGGCGCATTAATTACGCACATTTTGTTTAAATTTATTTAAACCAACGGCACAAACAACGCCCCAGAGTATGGGAAAGAGTAAGAAAAAGAGAGAGAGAGAGAGAGAGTGAGAGAGAGACTCACACCTGATTATAGCTTGCGTGAATTGGTTTTGGGCGTGAAATTGCTTTCAACATTTAATTACAAAAGGTTCGTGTGGTTTATTTTTGGCTCATCAGCCGCACTCAGCCACCGCCCACGAACAACACTCGCACCCACACCCACACCCACACCACAGCATAGCACACCCCCCTCCTGCATTGCAATTTGTTATCAGAGCTGAAACACGCAACCGACTGACGCCCAAACGATGCTACACCTTTGTTGTCTTTGTTCACTTGAATGTGTGTGTGTGTGTGTGTGTGTGGGGGGAGCTTTGGGCTAAATTAAAGGGATTAGGCCAAAGGAATCTGTGTGGCAAGTGTTGCGGTTGCAGCACAATTAGCCACAAAAATCAATTTTCTAAAACAGTTGGCATAATCAACGGCCCAGGATCGATCAAAGCGAATCAAACGGTACACCTGGATTGGCTACTGATTAACGCAACTCAAGATATCAAACTTCAGCAGTGTTCCGGGGAACCAATAAGAGGCAATACTCGTGAAGGCAATCACAAACTATGCAGGAGACAACAATAATATTGTCAGCGATATTAAACACGAGAGCAGCCATTGATGCAGGCTTTTGTGTGGCAACTGTGTGATATAAAATATAATTGAATGGATACGAAACATCCTGGCGGGGCATCCTGAAGCACCAGCACCAGCACAACAATGGACACCCACATGGCAGACATTCATTTTTATGTTTATTGGCAACACCAACACTGACACATGCAAAAACGAAGCTCACAAGCTGCAGATGAAGAGAAAGATGAAGATGAAGCCCAAGACCAAGCCCAAGACCAAGCCCAAGACCAAGCCCAAGACGGAGCTGAAGCTGAATCTGATGGCTGCTGTGCACATGTCCTCTGACAGGCTTATTGATGACTCTTGGTCCAATGCAAAAATTCCAGCTCTTCGCTCAACTTTAATAAAAAAATACTATTACGAAAAAAAAAACACATAAAAAAGAGGAAGGCAAACAAAATGAGCAGAAAAACAGAAGCAGGCAGACCATATTTATATATGTGTATGTGTAAAAGCATTTCCAAGTAAATAAATGTTGATTTTTGCCTGTGAGATGGAAATAAATCCGACTGTGTCCCTGTCTTTATGATTTATCATTTTCTTTCCTGCTGAATGCTGCTGGTCTGCTTTAAATCAAATTATAATATTCTATCATCGGAGAAATAACGAAGGAAAGTCCCTGAATTTTGTGTGTGCTATTTTTAGACGCCATCTTCTTGGACGCTCTGTGCCACTCGATAAACTTTGACTCTGCCAAATAGGATGCGAGTGCATTAAAATCATCTAAAAACATTTTCGCACACTCTCACAGAAGTTGGAATTAGCAATAAATGTTGACCGAAAATGTTAGTTGAATGGCAAGTTTTCAGAGCGCATAAAAACTATAAAAACTTTTCAGCATTTCAATTCATAATTCAACACATAATTATATCATGCCACTGCCAGTTCTCCTTCTCTCTCTCTCTCTATCTCTATCTCTATCTATCTCTTCTCTCTTTTTGTGTTTTTTTGTCTCTGTCTGGCCTGGCCTGGTCTGGTCTGGCGAAATATGTCAGCAACTTTTCAAAACTGTAACAGCGCCAATTTGTCTACAAAAACGTTGACCGTATACCACTCTCAGACTCCTTCCTCACTTAGTTCCCAGCACTCCACCCACTTCAAATGTAATTTCAACTCAAATTTAGCTGTTCTAAAATTATGCAAATATATTCGCGCTCTTTCGTATATATACATACATACATACATATATATATATGTGTATATGGTATATATGCTTTTGCTTATGCATTATGCTAAATAATTGCAAGCATTTGTTGTGCCTGTTGTTGGCGCGGAAGTTATTCGATATTTGTTCGTCCTTTTTAGCATTTTGTGCGGCAGAAATATTGCGTTAATTATCACGGAATGCCACAATATATATACGAATATATCTCTGGCCCAGAGGCATGAGCCTGTGTGTGTGTGTGGGTGTGCGGGTTGCTGTTTGTGTGTGCAACCGCGCAATTTATATTTTTGTTAATTTTGTTCGTTTTTGGCCTCGCGTAATTACATGAAGAATTCATGTGTAAAATTTTGTTATTGCCTGGCGCGTAAATTGTTTAACTTTAAAACATTTATTCGATGTTCGTAGTATCATCCGGAAAACCAATTTACAGTTGAGGCAAGTACGGGAGAGTGTTCCTTGAGAGGGCAAGGCAGCGCTTAGGGGGGGTGCCTGGTGGCTGGGGGCAATTGACAGCCGAGCGAAGAAAACAAAACTTGAAAACTAACATAAAATATTTAAGACGCAAACTCGAGTTCCCCCATGCTCCTTGTTCTATCCATCTCTGGCTCTTCCTGCCTGGCGCTGGGAAGTATGCAAGGAATTTTTTTCCACTTGAAATTATTGCACATCATGCTCCAGAAAGCCGCAACGGGATAAGCAGCTGGCAAGGAGTCGAGCCAGAACCTGCAGCAAGAAACGAGAGGCAGGCACAGGGCTGAGCGCCAGACAATAAGTTAAATTAGTTTGGTAGCGACGTGGCGTCTGCCACAGTGCATCCTGCCATTCCCTGCTCCTGCTCCTGCCTCCTCCTCCTCTGTTCGCAGTGTCTGCCGCTCTATATGACAATAAAAATATTACCCATAAATTATCAGAAGTGAGTTCATCACATGGCTTGCACTTGCTCCACCATTGAGTGCCCCCCGGTCTCGCATGTCTGTAAAAAGTTCGCCTGCCTTTAGTTTGCCAGCAGCTGCTCTTCTGTTCCTGCTACCCCAATCCTGCAGCACTCGGAAGGACTCCAGGACCCTCATCTCCGCCCATTGCATTTACCGCGCTCATTTGTAACTAAATCTGTGCGAGCTCAACTCAGTTGCGTGGCTGAAAGTTTATGAGTGTGCGGGTGGCGTTGGCCCCACCCACTGGCATACGTTTTACACACACATGAGCATGTTAGCCAGCGGCGTAGCTATTGGTGATGATTCCCGAAAAGGGTTAAATTTGCTCACTTAAGAAAAGAAAGTTCCAGTAAATAGGACTCGAAGAACAGCTACTTTAAGCCGGGGAAAATAAATAGCTCCAAAGGGGATGTCTTATGATACTCGTAAGTCACACTGTCCACAAATAATAGAGAGCTGTATGGCATCTAAGAGGCTGTGGCCAGGCTTGCATATCCCATAAAAACATAAAGAATGATACCCATGTTGGGCAACTGCCCGACCATCCCCACAACTACGCCCGTGGCACTCACATAGCCGAGTGTGTGCTGGTGCAACTGCATATTGTCATACTCGTAATGGTGAATGCATGATATATTGAATTTTGCAGTCAATAAACGTTTTATGATCACAGCTGCACATATTTCACAATTTCCCTCTCGTTTTTTGCTCGTTTTTTTTTTGCTCCTTTGTGATGGCAAAGTTGCATAAAAGTTGCCAACGGGCGGTAAACCGTTGAGAGCAATTGCAAAAATTTAAGGTCATTACGGGTGGAGTGGGGTGGAGTGGGGTTGTAGTTGGGGAGTTTGGAGAGACTGGCCTTAAATCCGGCTAAGCTGCTGCTGCCTTGGTAAGCCTGAATTGATGCTCTCGCTTAGGGACAGGGGCAGGGGCAGGGCATATCCCTGGCAATCCATCGAAGGGCCATAAAGTTTTTCTACTTCCGTTGTTTCTTGCTGCCAGACCAAATCACTGCTCGCAAAAATTCATCATCGCTCTGCTCTGTCCTCTGCTCTGCTCTGCTGCTAGCCGGAAGCAGCAGTGGGTCTGTGCCATATGTGGCATGTGTGTGGAAATCTGCATCAGCCACTCAAACTGCAGGGCGCTGCCGTAAACCTAAGCCCGGCCTAATTTCCGAAAGGCAAATGGCCGTAAGGAGCCTGACTCGAAGTACGGCCAGGAGTGCGAAAAAATAGTACGAATAAAATGAAAGAGAACAGAGGCAAAAAAACATTGTGGAAGCTGTCGATGAAGATGAAAACGAAACAGAAACAGAAGCAGCAGTGGGAGCAGCAGTAGCAGCGCAACAAGCAGCAGTCAAACGGATATTGTTTCTCGAATGGGTGTGGCAGGGGCGTGAGTGTGGGCGTATGGTCGTGTGGGTGTGTGGGTGTGTAGGCATACGATTCCTAGTAACTGTGACGAAATTGAGGCAGACACGAGGCCCACACTGCCTTGACACCATTGATTATGCTGCGTTGCTATCACGATTTCTATTTGAAACCGGGCACATGTGGAAAAACACCACAAGAAAGAGCGATGTATGCAGGGAAAGAGAAAAAAGGGGGGGCATCAGAGTACAGATGGCTGGAGAGGAAGAAGGATTCAGTCAGAGTAGGGGAAGAAGAAAAATCTCAAAAAAAAGGAAGCAAAGAGGTTTACAAGTTCTCGTAAGGCGGCTTAAACGATTTGCGAGTTTATGGAAAGCCAAACACACTTTGAACGCAAACACACACACACACACACACACACACACGTACACATGGAAGTCGTACATCTGTGAGCCTGTCTGAGAGTGTGTGTGGGTATGCGGGGTGGTGCAGAGGGGTTCGGGCATATTGTAAAACAAATGGAAAATTGCTTTTTGATGTAGTCAGTCAACTTCTCTGCTCTGCCTGCTGCCATCATCGATGCGGATGCGGATGCTGATGCTGATGATGATGGTGTGCTCTGGCTGATGCTTCGTCTCGCTGGCAACTCTTAAGGCTTTAAACGCCTAAAAGTATGCTGCATGTCATTTGCATGTTGCACTTGCTGCATGGGCCCAACGGATGCAATTCTTAATCCAATGGATTTTTGTGTGTGTGTGTGTGTGTGCGAGACCCGAGAAAAGGACGACGACGACGATGAGGAGGACAACGACAACGTTACTGTGCTGATGCAGCCAGATTCAATATTGTTTTACGCTCCTGAACGACTATGCAAATGCATGTCCATGCTGTGGCCGTGAGGCTGCCGTTTGAGCCAACACCAAAAGCTTTTAAAATAAACAAGGGAACCAAACGCCCCCCATCCTCTTCAATATGTAGCAATATCGACAGCCCAGCTACCTGTACTTGAACCCGAACCCGAGCACGAGCCTGCCTTTTCTTTATGACGCCGCATCAATTTGAATAAATCTCATGCGGATGCTCACCCCCACCCCCACCCCCACCCCCCTCTCTCTTACACTCTTTCAGATGCCGTTCAGGCGACGCTGCGCGATGTCAATCTGCTGGTGCAACCGCCTGCGGTGAGGCGCGGCCAGTCGGTGGCTCTGCGGTGCGACTACCAGCTGGATGGAGCGCCGCTCTACTCCATCAAGTTCTACCGCGGCCAGATGGAGTTCTACCGCTACACGCCCGGGGAGTATCCGCACACGAAGGTCTTTCAGTACCCCGGCATCAGAGTGGACGTAAGTCAAGGGTGCCGGCCATTGTGCATTGTGCAACGAAATGAAAATTTTCCCTTATCCTTGCAGGAGGGCAGCTCAAACGCCACCCTGGTGCTCATACGCAACGTCAGCTTCGGCCTGTCCGGTCAATTCAGCTGCGAGGTGACGGCCGATGCGCCGCTTTACTCCACGGCCACGGCCTACGCCCAGATGCAAGTTGTGGGTGAGTCAATGGGTCCGATCCGACGACAGAGTTCTGTCTCATTAGCGACGTTCCGGGCACAGCATTGACATGACAGCCACAAGCGGTGCACGACAATGGTGTAAAGCTGCTCTGTTGTTCCGCTGGCAGCAATTAAAATCCTGAATAAACACTTTGCAGAAGCTGCTCGAGCCAGAGCCCCAGCCCGAGCCTGAGACCGAGCCAGAGTCCTCGTTTCGCTGTCTTGCGTCTCAAAGCAAAGTCAAGTGTACCGTTTAAAGGTCTCTTTCTTTTTGTGCTTGCAGAGTTCCCGGAGAAACGGCCGCAGCTGTTCACGGAGCACACCCGCTACGAGCCCGGCGATGTGCTGCGCGCCAATTGCAGCACACCGCCTTCACGACCGCGGTCCGAGCTCCGCTTCACCATCAACAATGTGCCGGTAAGTGTGGGTCCGCCCCCGGGGCACAGGGGCAGAGTGAGCCACAATATTCCCGGCAATTACAGGCAAAGCTCAAGCGCTTTACATAATGCCAGCTCAACTGGCAATTAAGACATCAATTCGATGTATGCACAAGCCTTACATTGATTGCTAATTAATGTTTTGTTGTCTCCACTTTTGGCCATGTTTAGGCACTGTAAATAGAGGGGTTGGGGGGGGAGGGCAGAGCAAGTGGAGGGATGTGCCTAATTAAACAGCTTTGAACTGCCTAACGGCATCGTAAATCCTCCTCCATAATGGCAATGGCATCTACACCACTTGCTGTGCTCTGCGCTGCGGTGCTGTGCTGCGCTCGTTTCGGGCACATGTGGCTCGGCACATATAATCTGGGATCCGGGCGACGTGCCTCACAAAATTTGTTCTTTATTTATGAATATGATGTAATTTAATCAGAGCCAAGAAACCGAATTAGAAGGGACTTCTCGTCTTACCTACTTAATTAAAAGTCGTCTCCGGCATGAAGCGACTCAACCTCAACGTGAAGCCCCAAACGCAAACGCAAAACCCTTCCAGGCAAATGAAGTCAATAAACCAAAAAGGGTTGCCTTTGCCTGCCTTCTGATTTGATTGTGCGATTTTCCTTTTGTCATTTATCATAAAGATTGGGGGGCTGAGCAGGATGGATGGATGGCTGGATGGATGGGGGGTAGCCGAACATGTGACGGCAGAGTCATATGAATATACCGGAATGATATGGTTTGGGCGGGGGGGAGGCTGGAACATCATTACTCATTCGAAAGCGTTTCCATTTTTGCATCAATTCTGCGACTGCCGCTAATCAGCTGCATAAATCAGGAGTGAAATGTCAGTCCTGTGCCGGACGTTGCAGCCCCCGGGCAATCATTTTAAAGCAAATCAAGGCGTTCCGTTCGCTATTTCCAGATACTCGTAACATTTCTTTGACCGCAGACCCCGGGCAGTCCCAACCCGAAAGCGTTTTTTATTCTGTTATTAATCATAGCCACGACATAAAATAAATTACGTTAAACTTCTGGCAAAAACGAAATTGCCGGACAGGCCAATGGGCAAAGGACAATGGACAATGGACAGAGCACAGCAGACAGAGGACAACGGTTTTCAAATGAATTTACGAGATGAACAAATTTTCAGTTGACACGCCCCGATTTCAACTTTCTTGGATTCCCCCCTGGCCCAGCTAGGAGAAAACTTATTAAACGCTTCATAAATTTTTATATTATGTCTACCCACATCATCAGACATAACGTGCAGCGGGGCGACCTGATTCCTCTGTCCTCTGTTCCGAGTTTGTCTGTTGCTTTGTCTATCTCTCTCTCTCTCACTCCCTCACCCTTTGTGTGTGTGCGTGTCTTATCCTGTCGCTTTATATCTGTCGCTCCGCCATAGTCTACTTTTTCGGGGCACACATGCTTTCACCGTTCATATGCAGGCCGTTTAACATTTTATCTAGACGCCGCTTGCCGCTTGCCGCCTTCTTCGCAGCCAGGCCAACTAATGACAAAAGCCGAGACAAAAGTACGCTGCTGGGCTGTGCGGCGGATAGGGGATCGGTGACTGGGCATGGGGGATTGGGAATGGGAATGGGAATGGGAATGTAGGGTCTCAGTCTGTCTTGTCACATAAAATTTTATATCTACTGTGTTTATGTTGGCCCAGACAGGGCAGACAGGCCAGAGCAGAGCATCGTGTACACCGCACACTGTACAGCATCGTGTTCTGGCGGCAATGGTGGTGCAATTTAGTTTCATACTCGTATGCCGCCCGAGCATTAGATGCCTTTTTGATATTGAATTATGATCTGGCTGCCGGAGCTGTTCATGCTCTTTAAATTAGATGGAAAGGCTGGGATAATGCTCTATCTCTCCACAGTGGCTGTCACACAAAGCAATGCAATAAATAATTCGGGCTGAAAGCATTGACCCAGCACGTGTTGAGTTCGAGGCGAGAATCCAACTCGAGATTAAAGCAGCCTCAAAGCCCCAGCTAGCGCGGCGAGGGGGGGAACGGACACACATCGCATCGTATGTGACCCACTGAGACAACGAGTGCCTCACATGGAGTTGGGGTTGGGCTTGGGAATATATGGCAGATGGGGAAGATGGGGAGGAAAAAAAACTTTAACGACCAACATAATTTGTTAAAAAGTTTCTGTCATATTAATGGAAAAGTGGCTCAAAATGTGTTGGTCTTCTTGCCTCGTGCTTTTTTGGGTGATTCATGGGGATTAGTTGGGATTAGGGACAGTCGTGGCCAGCACCCCTGCTGCTGTTGGGCACGATACGGGGGCCATTAGACATTTGGATTTGTGTGGCAATCGATTTTTGATAAATTATTTATTGAGCACAGAAAACTAAGAACATAATTAAAGCCAAGCTTAGCTCGTGATTAATGGATGGCCTGTCCCGTGAAGGGAAATCGATACAACCCAAAACTTAACTTAAAATATCGTCTGATATTTATTCAATGTATAAATATTTAATGCCGAATTTTGTTGCTGATGAGTTGCATATTTTGTTGCGTTCTGGCAAAGTTTTACTCTCAATTTGCATAATCCTTTCTGGGCAGAAATTATCAAGTCGATATTAATTGCCCGCCCATCAGGGCCGACTTGGCCAGCCCAGCAAAGAACAGACCAGAACCAGACAACACCGAAGAGAGCGTACGAAATCAACAAAAGTTTCTGCAAGCTCGGCATTGGGCCACGGCCACGTTAATGCTGTTGGAAAACAATTCGGCCGGCAAAATGTTTAGGCCAGCAAATGCCAAATTTTCATTTAATTGCTCCTCTGTGTGGTAGGGGGAGGGGGTGCTGGGCGTCGGTGGTCCCATAAAGGTAAATCACAAGAAATATGAGGGTATTTTCACTTTTGGGTCGCTGCCTCAGCCACATGCTTAATTAAAGCGCTTGGCTTCTTAAGAGTTTCTCGTAAATTACACGGCATTAAATTGGCAGCGGCAAGGGATACGAAGAAGGGCGGTAGGAGGAGCCACATAGGCAGAGGAGGAGGGTGGGGTGGACAGAAAGAAAAGTGAGAGAAAACTGAAAACGACTTTTTATGTCGCTGCGTTTCGGCTTTTCCTCTGCCCGCCAGCCAGGCAGCCAGCCAGCATAAAAATAAAATTCAAATAAAATAAAATAAAAAGGCTAAGCCAAAAAACGCACAAAACCCGAAACAAAATGTGTACGTACCAGTAAGTGTGTGTGTGTGCAAGTGTTTCTGTGTGTGTGTGTGACGCTGTTGTAAAAGGGTTAAAAGGCGACCAGCGACAGCAAAAACAACAGCGACTGAGGATGGGGCGAAAGGAAGCTCAGCAATGAAGCTCTTTTGCTTTTAATGTTGCGGGTGTGTGGGGACTGGGGCAAGGCGGGTCCAAAGGCGAGGAGGCAGTGCGATATATCCTTGAGAGTCCTTTACACTAGCAAAAAAAAGTGATCAAAGTTGCACATTAAATCTGGTCTAAACATCTATTGAGGTGACCTTTGCTTATCCCCTCCAATATATTCAGCGTACTTGGTTTATTTTTAAAGAATTAAATATTCCAAACAAACAAAATTATATTCTGCATTGGGTTATAATTTTATTTTAACTGAAAGTTTTTGTTTTAGACTTTTTTTTGCAAGTGTACCCCTGAGCCTGCTCTCTCGCTCTCTCCTAGCTGACCCAAATTCTGGCAGACCTGTAATATCTTACACCTTTTTTACGGGCAGCGAGCGGGGCTACAAAATACATGCATAAGTAAATGGAGCTCAAATGAGTTTGTAAGTGGAAATGAAATGCATATTTATTGTATTTAAATTGCCAACGAGTTTACGCCGGCCTTAGAGCACAGCTCAGGTTGTCATGTGAACTTAGCTGTTAGGGAGAACGGCAGCCAGGCAGCCAACAGGAAAGTAAAGGAAAGCTGCGCAGGCGGAGGCAGAGGCGGAGGCTGTGGATGAGTCAGCAACAGGACATGCAGTAGAACGGAAATGGCAACAGGACCGCTTTCGAAATGGCGTCTGCATTTCCACTGCCAACCGGCAACAATGGACGATGCGCCATTTGCGACTAAAAGCATTGCACGGCAGTTTAGAGTTTTCTTTTCGCACTCGGCGAAAGGCGGGCAAAGATGCGCCAAACGGAAATCGTGTGGTGTGTGCATGCGAGGGGAAGCCTAGCCAAATGAAGCGGAAAGAATGTACAGGAGCGACGCATAGGCGAAACTATATATCCCAACTATATGTAGGTGCATATGCATGTCAACAATCGAGTCGCATTTCGGAGCGGGGGAGAACTTCTCGAGCTGCTGGTGTCATGGCGGAAATGAAATTCTCATAGACACGCAGGCAAAGGCAGAGGCAGAAGGAAGGCTGTGATGATGCAAGCATCAAATAAACAGTTTGCATAGCAGCAGCAAGAACACGATGCAAACAACCTTCATACGTGCTGCACGCACACACACACAGAAACAGGCACACACACACCCACACAGACACAGTCAGAGGGACACTCTCAAACAAAACGCCGGACACTTGCAGAGGCGAAAAAACCAACCAGGCGGATGAGTGAATAAGTGTCTCTCGATGCTGTTGCTGTCGTCCTGTTGTTGCTTGGCAAGAGTTGCTGCTGCTGCTGTTCCTGCTACGGTGCAACATTGAAAACTCGTTTTTAAAATGGCAATGCCCAGCAGCAGCAGCAGAAGCAGCAACAACTCTTACCACAAGCAACAACAAAATATGACATGTCCATGTCCGTTCGCTCGCTCGCTTTCAGTGTCCGTTTCCTTGCCTCGCATTGCCAGTAGCCCTGCCATTGCCATTGCCCCTGCCTCTGCCCCTGCCTCTGCCACTGCCTGGTCAAGTGGCTCTGCTCAGCTGTGCTCTGTCCAGCTCTGTTTCGCTGGGCCAGGGCTCGCCACTGGCAGCCAGCCATTGCCACAAGTGCAACATGCTCGTAATAACCCCTCCGCACACACACACACCCACTGCGAGTGGGTGGGGTGCGGTGGGGGGCACCAGGAGACAGTCGACAGACGACAAATTGCCATTCATATGCAGTTGGACAAAACTCGGAGCAAAACTTTACGTTTCACATACACTAACAGAAGGAAACATAGCTGGGGCCAGATGTTGGTAACGCAAGGTGGAAACCTACCTCCCCCATATATTATTGTTGGTCATATTTGTAGCCGATCCAGGTGTGTGCCGACCGATCCATATCCAATAGATTTGCTGCAGATTTTATAGGGTATTGCGACTGCGACATGCGAAATTCGTTCAGTTTTCATGCCCCTTTTATTTTTCTGTTATTTTTCCTTGCTGCATGCATGCTGGAACATTATTTTGTGACTTGTGCTCGGGAACGGAAACGGTAGGGAAAATCAGTTGCAAGTGCAATTGCAGCTGGAAGCACGCCATGAATAATTTAAGGGCACTTTTTGGGGGGCCACCAGCACAAAGGCACCGAGGCCACCAACCCACCGAGCTTCAGGCAGTCTTTGATTAGTATTCAAATGACAAAAACCAAAACAATATTGTGAACGCTGCGATTGATTTGATTGTTCTCTTTGTGCTCTGTCTCTTCCCTCTCCCGATAGATAACCACGGAGGAAACGCAGTACATACGAACGATTGACAACTTAATAGCGTCCCGGCTCAGTCTGAAGCTGCAGCTGCAGGCGGTGCACTTTGTGGCCGGTATTAATGGCCATGGCAATGGCAATGGAAATGGCAACGGGAATGGCAATGGCAACGGCAACGGCATAGCAAACGCATTGGTCACCGCCAGCGGGAGTGGGTCGGGCGGTGGCCTTGTTCTGCGTTGCACGGCGCAAATTGGCGATCTCTATCAGGAGTACAAGGAAATCGAGTTGGGCACACCACAAAAGGATCCGGTGCCGGCAAGAGGTAAGCCACAACAACAACAGCAGCAGCAGCAGCAGCAACACCAACAGCCTGCAGCAGCCGTAGAAATTGCATTTTCTTGACCATTTCAGTGACGCTGTCGTCGGGCACGGGACTGCGCAGCTTCTTGGAGGCCTATTTCACAACCTCCAGGGCGGCGCTCACCTGGCAAGGGACGGCCTTTGGGGGCATCGCTATCTGGCTCTTCTCAGTGTTGGCACTCCTGATTAGCTGCAGCCGAAGCAGCTAAATGCAGGTGGCTCCGATACCCATGTAGCATGGAACATTCGATTTGGTTACGGATCTGTTTGGGACACGGCCCGGATATGGAATGTGTATAGCCTAGATGATGATGATGATGATGATGCTGGGTGGAGTGGTAATCGATAGCGCATTAGATTAGAGCTCTCGGCCGTGAACCGCATTAATTATCTCTCGTGAATGCCATTTGATTTACACACACACACACACATCAATACACCCATACATCCATACAGCCATACATGCGATTCCTGTTGAGTACACACGAGCATTAAACAATAAAACTGTAAATATTTGCTTTAATGATGTAAACGGATACACGTAAATGAACTCGCACAGCACACACACACACACACACACACACTCTCAAGCAGACACAGACACACACACACATGTACGACTAATTGTTAATTAATGGATTATTTAATGACGCATAAAATATTGGATAAAGTATTAATGTTTCATTTGCATTTAGCTTCCACACAAGCAAATATCAACTTAAAGTTTAAGCCATGGACGTGCAAATCGTCGAAACGATTGAAAAACGCGAAACAATTGTAACAAAAATAAAATGCCAATGTCAAGACAAACAAAATACATTCAAACCAAAATAAACAAGCATAATTAATCAAATTAGTTTCGGCAGTGATTTTTTTCTCTTAATGGAGCCTTTCAAGGGGTACATACCTCCTATATAGTATTTAATCTTAAGCCAAAGGTAAGACAAGGGGGGCTACAACTTTAATCGACTTAATAAATCTTTTAGCTTTAACACAAAAATTAATTTTGAGTTGTTTAATAATTCTTTTGAAAGAATTCTAGAGGATTAATTTTTGTTTGGTTATTTTTTCTTTTTTCCTGTTTTCGTTGGACGAAGCATTATTTGTACAAATGTCAGAGGTCGATACTGCTGAAAGTAGTTCCATGTGATGCATCGGAAGCATCTGGTACGCCGCTCGGTTTGATCGGGATATTTGCCATTCAGATTGCTGTAACAAAATCATTGAGATGTCTGATGGATGTTAACTGATGGAAGATCTCGCGAGCCACCCACCTGGTGTAGCAGTCGTTGTACCACCAGCCGCCCCAAAAGAGCTTCGAGCAGCTCTCTTTGCTGGGGTCAGTGTTCTTCCGGTCGTAGGTGGAGAAGGGCATGTTCAGGTGGTAGAACATTCCATCACCCGCCTCGCCCATGTACTCGCCCAGGGTGCGGATGGTGTAGTTCATTTTGTAGCCGGAAATTAGAAAGCGATCATACATGGCATAGGATCGAGTGCCCACTCCGTTTTGGAACAGAAAGAAGATCGTCGTCGGTTGGGACATTGTGATGCGGTAGATCTTCTCCAGTCCGTACCAGAACTCCGACTGCATGTCCCCGAATCCCTTCTGATACGCATTCCAATTCTTCCGAAAGTCCACAAAGTTCTCCCTGCGGCGTTGGATCACCGTCCAGCCACCGCCAAAGAAGCTGGCCACGCACCGCACTGTTGCGTTTTTCCTGGTGCCGCTTAAGTAAGTGGTGTAGATGCCATCCGTCTTGGCCATTGTGCAGTCATTGATGAATATTCTGTGCTTCACAGCAGGTTTGCTGTTGCTGTAATTGTTCACCTCACTCGGATCGGGCCTGTCATCCATCCTTTTGGCCGCATCTATTCCCAGCAGCAGTAAAACCAAACCGAAGAGCCACATTCTCGATCGCACTTAATGCACATACTAAAATGTTGAGCTCTCTACGTAAATAAACTCTCTCTGTCATGCTTGATATTTGACATGCTTCTTTTGCTTATCTTATGGATTATTCTTATTCGATTTGAATATTTCAGTTGCTGCAATCCGTTGCAAAATCAACGAAAACGAACGACAGGCATGTCATGCAGCAAACATAAAGTTTTCTTTGCATTTTCTCAAACTTCTTTATCAAGCTACTTCCATTTATTTATGTGCTCATGGGATAAATGTTATTTATTTGTAAAATTAGTAGAAATTACTGAAAGAGAAGGTGAAACACGACTAAGACTGACTTCCTTCTCGATGACTGGTTACAAAAAAAAGAACAAATTTCCATCCACTTTCGGAAAGAGTATTTTCCGTATGAGGCTGAGCGCTTTAAGATTTTCCGCCGAGCTCAGCTGCAAGTCGGAGAAATGTTCAATTGATTGTCAACAGAGCAATGACAAGTGAAACGAACTCAATTTACAACGCGTTTCGAACGCGTTTTTTAACGCCCCCATCGAATTAAATTTAAGTGTCGCGCTGCATACTTTTAGGCTGGCGCTGCTTAATAAACTGCTTGCAACGCGTTGATTGGAAGGGGGGAATGGCAAGCAGTGCATATAATGCAATTAAAATCAAATATATACGAGGCAGTCGCCGAACCGCACCGCACCGCGCCGTGCCGCAAGTTTAGTTTTGCACTTTCCGAAAAAGTCATTAAAAGATAAAATCACAAAATCAATTAGCCAGAAACTTTAGCTGGCTCTGTCTCTGTCTATGGTCTGGGTCTTCGCTTGGGTTTGGGCTTGAGTTTGTGTTGTTGGGGTTGTGATTGGGCTGAAACTGAGACCAGGCCTGGGCGGGCGCCATCTAGCCTGACCATAAATTGCAACACTTTTATCGTCATCCCAGGCCCGCCTGCTGTTGTCCTTGTGTCCTCGTGTCCTGGTGCCGGTGCCGCCTATTTCTGCCGATGCCGATGCCTCTGCCGTTGCCTCTCCCTCTGCTTGTGCCCTCTGGTGGTGGCAGTTGCACAGTTGCACAGTTTCCGATTTCCGTTTCCGCTTTGCGGTGCTCGCCTTGGAGCTGGCGCTGCAACTGTAGTTGGAGCTGCCACTGTGCTGTGCTGGAGCTGGCTTTTTATTTGCCGCACACTCGCTCGCCTCAATGCTTGCATAAGTGGGCAGAAATCAGCTCCTCCACTTGGCCAACAGCGTGGCCTGCTGGTGCTGCTGCTGCTGCTGCTTCTGCTGCTGCTGGTTTTGGTTCTGGTTGTGCTGCCCATGTATTTGGTTTTTTGGCAAACGCATTTTTTCATTACTTTCGACTGGCCCACGGCCAAGTTGTGGCCCCGGCAGGCAATGGCAAAATGGTTGATGGTAGATGGCAAATGCATTTGCTTGTATGTTAACGTGCATCATTCGAGCCTCTGGCGAGCTGCCCCAGCCACAGCCTTATCCTTTGCCGGAGGTTCGGGGCAGGCCAGCAGCCAACCGAGCGAGTTCCGCTCGCATTCTCAGCCACGCCCTCGGACAATGTACACAGCAGAAAGAGCAGAAGCAGAAGCAGAACCAGAAGTGGAAGAAGCAGAAGAAGCAGCACCAGCATGAAATATTTTTATGCAATTGAAACGAATTGCGAAAAAATGATTTATGCCACAGCATTAAAGCCCAAATTGGTACACTCAAAGGGAAGCAGTTCTGATATATGGTCATACGATACGCTTCATATGGCAACAGGGCTGATAACATTATAAAGCCCAGCCAGAGTCGGTTCGTAATGAAGCCAACGCTGCTGGGGATGGGGATGGGTATGGGGAGACATCCGATTTGGCCATGAATGGCATTTTACAGCGGCAAAAGAAAGCTCAAGTATTTGAATGGCTTTCGGTCGTTCGGCTATCGAAAATATGTATATAATTTTTAAAGAAAAACGCATTCAATTCCCGCACAGTAAATTCAACGAATTCTTTGTAAGAACTTATTTTTATTAATTACTTTCCATGCTCGGGGAAACACCACTCAGTGTCAGTCACATTCCCGCACAAACGGAGGCTCATTACAGGTCAATTAATTAATTGAAGCCTACCAAATAGTAGCTGAGCTGCTCCACAATACAGCCATAAAATTGAATGGACCAACAGCTCGGCACACTCGGCGTACAGAGAGATAGAAGGCACAGTCACCGGACGGCACCGAGAGGCACATATCCGGGGGCAGGGAAGAGCGATGGCGAGCCAACAAAATGAATTGCTATAATCACTGAGGCAACAGCAGGAGCCACTCAACAGACCAGGACTAGGCACTCTGGCCAAGCTGGGAGAAGATGGAGATGAAGACGGACACGGAGAGAGAGAGAGAGAGAGAATCCGTATCCCTATCCACATGCAATGACATATTGTGAAAGGCATTTGATTCGACTGGCAAAGTTCATGGCTTTGACCATGGCCAGTGGTCAAGCGGCCATTTGAATTTGACTTTTAATGGCAAATGAATCTCTCCATTTGCTTCTCATCCTCTCATCCTCTCCCACTCTCCGCTGTCAGAAACTTTTTTTTGAGTGTGAGAGCATTTTATCCGTGCCTCTCATGCCTCTCCGCCAGTGAAAGTTATGTCCAAATGTTCCATTTGGGCATACAATTGCTTCGTTAGCGTTTAAAACACAATCATTTTATTCGAAATGCAAACCATTTAACTTGTATATGTATATACGAGTGTGTAGTGCGTTAAGTGGGGGGGGGGGCTGGGTTAAGCCTCTTAATGGATGTATGACACAATTTTAGGATTATGCATGTATATAGAAATGGACTTTTAATACTCGAAGCTATACTTATCCGGATGATTCAATCAGCTAGAACTTTACTAATTCAACTAGGCCATTGCCGGTTCATACATTAGCATAAATTTGGCACACCATTGTTATGCGATGATTCCTGGATCAGGCGCTGGGGCATGTGTCAGGCTCCGCCCCACCCGGCCCGGCTCGGCCCGATTGATGCCATGAATATTTTATTAACATCGGCACGCACCACCCTTCCGACACCAAATAGATCGCAGGGGAAGGGTGCGCTCCTATTTTTTTTACGTAATTCCAAGCCTGAATTGGGCAAATGAGATTTTCGCACGAAATTTGCATTGCATATTGTTGGGGCCAGCTACGTGCAGCTGGCTGACAAATCGTCATTAATAAACCCTCCAGGAAGAGTGACAAAGTGACTGAATAACTGAGATTGTATATGTGTGTGTGTGTGTTGTGTGCTATTTTTCTGTGGGCGTGGCAACAATGGCGCTTCGTTAGTGCAGCAGCAGACAGCAGCCAGCAGGAGCAAACCTGCCGAGCAGCAATCAAAATTCAATTTATTTAGGCACAAAATTCAATTTTTATATCTTTACGTTATTTTGCTTTGATTTTTCTCCTTTCGGTTTCCTTGTGTTCACATTTTATGGAAATGAAATTTAATTGCAATTTTCAGGCGCAACACAAAGGCAAAAACTGGCCCCAGGAATGACAACTAATAAAACTAGCAATTTAATTAATAATTTCGCAAAACAGTAATTACGCAGCATAAATTCCGATGCCGAAAATAGCCAACGAGCTAATTATACAACCTAATTTATTTTATTTGTTGCCAAACAAAAAAAAAAACAAAGGGATATAGCCAGCTAGAAAGCTTAGCGCAAAATACATTATCGCGGCTGGCTAATGTAATATATACTCAAAACACACACACACAAACACACACATGTATACCGATTTCATTGTTATTCTCCAAAAATTAAATGTAATTTAATAAACCGAAATTGCGCATCTGCGAGTATGTATCTTGTTTGTTAGCTTCCAGCGTACTAATTTCTGTTCTGTGCTGTGCTGTGCTGAGTGTGTGTGTTTGCTCTAGTAATTTGCATTTAATTTCGCTTTATGCAAATTTAAAATTATATTCCACAACAACGATTGGGAATCGTGTGTGGAAGCCCATTTAATTAAATAGACATAAATGCGAGTTCAGTGCACAATCGCTGGCCATGCAAGTGATAAAACCAGCATCAGCATCAGCACCAGTCCCAGGGCCCTCGGCCCTCGGCCAGCTCCCGCCCAGATGCCGCGGAAGCCGCAGCATTTAAGCGCCGTTTAAGCCCGCTCGACTTGCGGCCCATCATCAACCTGTCGGGTTGCCAGGGGACAGGCACTGACGATGACGACGAGAATGACAGCAGCAGCAGCAGCAGCAGAGGCAGCAGCGTGTAATCAACAGTCGAACAAATGGACAGACTCTCGGGGACAGTCAGATATATATGTATGTGTATAAATGTCAGGGCAGGTCTGAGTCATGGAAGTACTCGACCCCAAAGACCGCAAACAAAAACAGCAACAAACATTTCTGAGCGGCTGTCAACGAATTCGGTTTGCTCTTTCAGTCTGAGAAGCCTGAACAAGGTGCAACAAATATCCCCAGGAAATAAAACCAGGAAAATGCAGGCATCTTTTCATAAAAACAAAATAGTAAAAATAATTCGCAAAAGAATATTTCAACAGAGCAAAAACATTTATGCAGAGCGTTCAAAAAGGTAAAGAAGAGATTTTAATAAGCTGCAGATCAGATCCTTTTGGTGATATCATCATTCCTCGCAACCAGTTGCATTCCAGAGGGGATGATCCACCAGCTCCTCTCTCTGTGTGTGTGTGTGTGTGGAGTGGGCGGCAGACAGACGGACAAATGTTGGATTTTATTTCCCACTTTGTCATAATTGTGGAAATGGCGCCGTGCCTCTGGGCACGATGTGGAGGGCAAGTGTTGACAGTTAATGCTGGCAAAGCTGTCAAAGGTCCGGGCCAGTGGACCACGAAATGCAGCAACAACCAATGCTGATCCGGAGCGTTTTAAAGTTTTCAATTTACGCACATGCTTACGGCCCCAGGGCCGCCAGCCTGCAGCATCATGGTCTGCAGCATCACGTAGTGTCGACAGTTGTCTGCGCTCAATGCAAGTGCCACAGTCGGAAT